GTCAGAAGGGAATATTTAGTTGTAACTTGTGTAATTCTTTTGACTTTAGGGAAGAGGAGGAGGTGGATCAGAGGAAGTCTTCATCCGTGGCCCCCAGGGGTGGAGTCCCCCCAGTTTCCCCTCATGCATGCATCCGTGATGCAGTTGCAGATGAGCTGTTTGATGACACATGGAGGGAGGTGGTGGGCCTTCTGGAGGAGCTCTTACACAAGTACTGGGAGAAGCAGCTCCCGGGTGTGTCTGAATTACTGAATAACTAAACCAGCAGAATTAGCCAACAGTACATGTTTGATCATTAGATCCTGGGTGGGTGAAGAACCACAACACAGCTTTTGCATACTTAAAGACCCCTTAAGTTGAGTTTTGTAGCTTTTAGACCATGTATGTACAATACAGTTAAAAAAATTAGAGTTGGTATGATTTTATGGTTTTGAAAATCTCAAGGCTGCGTTTATGTGATCAAACATGCAGTAAAATTAATGTTGTGAAACGCTGTTACAATTTAAAAAAAATGTTTTTCTATTTTAATATATTATAAAATGTAATTTATTCCTGTGATGGCAAAGCTGAATTTTCAGTAGCCATTACTCCAGTCTTCCGTGTCACATGATCTTTCAGGAAATCATTCTAATAGGCTGATTTGCTGCTCAAGAAACATTTAAGATTATTATATATGTAAAAAACAGTTGAGCTGCTTAACATTTTTGTGGAAACCTTGATAAAAATAGGTGAACATTTTGATATGGCCCACACTAACTTTATGTTCAACTTCAATGTAAATGGGAAATATATCAGCGCAGGAAAATTGTCCTTGTCAAAGCATTTCAAATGGGTGTAAGCTTGTAAACAATATGTAAAAAAAAAAAAAAAAAATTGTAACAAAAATGATTAATGATAAAAACTCAACAATGATAGGATTACTGAGGCATCAGCATGAACTGTGTTTGTCCCCGTGGCTGTTTGTGTTACTCTATGGCATTTTGGAGTAATAAAATGAAATTCAGTTGCTAATCTGCCAGAAGTTAAGTGCACTGTTGGAGATTTTCTTAAATCCCTAATGTTCTTTCTGGCATCAGATGGAGCAATGCAGAGGAGGACATTAGAGAGCTCCAGTCAAGCGCCTTCATCTCAACTCCCAGTTAAAGGACATCATCTTCTGTTGTCCAGAGGTTCCAGCAGCAGAACCACATTCCTGTCAACATGCAGCAATAATGTACAGGTGACAACCTACCAAAACATGATGCGTTTTGCTGCAAAGATTAAGTCCTGCCTGTTACTTTGCCCTTTTGTTATGAATGTGTAATTTCTTCTGTCAGGTCTCAAGTGCCTACAAGATTAATTTAAACGGTGTTATGACAATCCAAGCAAAGCCACTGCAACAGAGACATCAGGGATTTAGTGAGAGAGCCCTGTAAGTCTTTTGGAGTTTGGCAAGTCAAAATCTAACCCTGCAAAAACTGTTTTTCTATTGCTATATCTATTTTTTAAGACAATTTAATAAGGAACAGAATTAAGGAATATATTAACTACAGATAAATCAGTATGAAAACAACTGAAGACTTGTTTCTGAACTTGATCTGTCTTGGCTCCTCTTAAGGTATGACCCAGATGATGGAGCGAGCATGTTGATGTGTGTGAAGACTCAGGCTCTGAGAGGGTCCGGTATACTCATACAGAAACCCGCAGCCCAGCGCAGACTCCCCAGACTCAGTGGCAGGGTTCGAATGTTCCACAACCTCACAGGAAACGGAAGCCAAATCTTACGAGGAACTAGACTGTGAGCTGCAACTCTGCACACATGATTAAAGGAGTTTAAATGGGTATCTGTTCACCCAAAAGTGACAACTGGAACATGTTGTTCCGAACCCATATGACTTTCTTTCGTTTGTGGAACACAAACGGAAAGCTTCAATATAACAAAAGAGCACCATAGACGTGTCATAAAAGTAGTCCACGTGAATTTGGCACAATGTTCCAAGTTTTGAAAGCCATATGATAACTTTGTGTGGAGGAGCTTAATTAAATTAAAGTAATTATTCATTAATAATATTGACACACCATTTCTTCTCCCTAGTTGATCTTGAAAGTGAATGAAAAAAGTAGTGATATCTAATTCGTTTAATTTTTTTTCACATTTATATAAAGCTTTATACAATACAGATTTCAGAGCAGCTTCACAGTAATAAATAACAGCATTAATGTTTGGTTACACTTTACTTGAAGGGGTGTGCATAAGACTGAC